GCCAGCAAAGCAGCTAAGAAACCGAAAGTCAGCAGGGCTGACAAATACGCAGCGACGAAAACACCAGCGCAAATGCTCAAAGTGGACAAATTTACCGCTACTGAAACCGAAACCAAAATCCCAGACTCAGAAACAGGAACGGTAACTAATGACGAAAGCGTTGAGAGCATGGAGGCCGACTTTCAAGAATTGCTCAGAAGCGCGACAAAAAAGATGTTTCCTCACAAACTGGAGGCGAACGGATTCTCAGTGCACTTAATTTTTGACAAAGAAAAGCAGGAAGAAGAGCTACGCCTATCACTTACTGAACTCAGAGCAAGACGTGATATGGACTACAGACTATGCAAAGAAGCGGACCTAGTCTACCAAAATCTAAAAGAAAAGAGACGACAAGAGGCACTGAACCAAACAACAGGAGATGAAGCAGAGAAACAGGAGGAGTGGAACACACCGCAAAGGCCCAAACAGTACAAGCGAGGCAGACAAGGACGCCACCAGTACTAGAAGTCGCTTGCCCCTTTTCTGGACAATCAGTACCATCCCACCCACCTACTCCAGCGCCAACCCAGGCAAACTGTCAGTCCTAGCAGACTCCCTTCCCAAAACGCCGGAAACAGCCAACCAAACGTTGCCAACCCGAAAAACCAGACAGCATAGAAGCCAGCTTATCGACCAGAGGTGCCAGCAAAAGACAACCCATGGAGAAAACGCCAGCACCGGACCCACAGAAAATCTCACCCATGTGTTCAAGGCCGGCCCAGGCAAAACGTGCAGTCCTTTTTAGGGGTGCCAGATCCACTATCTAAAAACTAGAAACAGCCAATCAAAAGCCAAAAACCTGCCAAGCCAGACCAAACTGACATGTTAAAGCAGAGAAACTAATCTTAGGCGAAATCATTTTCGCCACCAAGAAACTGAACTCAAGCTAAGAATCGGTCCTTAATATAGCAGGCTCTCGGGCGGCTTAAAGAGGAAAAAACTTGACATTTTCGTTTTCTGCAATCAAATTCCGACTCAGAGATGTTTAAGCCTTGACTAAAGATCTTTTCTTTAGATTTAGTTGTCTCACGTTTTGGAATCGGTGTGCCAGAATTCTGTGATCGTTCACTTGTATGCTCATGTAAAAGTCTTGAACTGTTTAATGCATGACACATGATAAAGCAACCACTCATATATGTGGCTAGACTTATCTAGTTACTTAGTAAATAATATTACTTGATGTGTGAATGAAATGATGTAAGAATGGAGGGAGACCTCGAAGGGCAGAATGTTAGACGGGCCTGCGTGCCCAATTCTTAACCCTTTAAAAATAAAGTTTGTTCGTTCGTTCGTTCGTTCGTTCGTAAAATGTTCAATGCAAAAAAGGAGGTACATATTGCGCCAGACTTATAATGGCCATAGAGTAATAAATAATATTTGATAAAAACAAGGTTATGTTGTGTTAGACTGATATCAGTTATGTAGTCGAATATAAAAAAAAAATCGATAAAATAAAGTGTGTGTCATGCAAGACTTTTACATGTTTTATAATTAAATATGTATATATGTATATATATGAGCGTTTCTAATTTTTCCTAAGTTTTAGGGACGTAAACTGTCATGGAATGGCCGTCACCATCCCTACAATTTGGACTATTCGTGACTCTGGCGCCGCTAGTGGCCAGGTCACATTCAAATATCGACCCGTCCGGTGGGTATATAGTCTATCATGTCTATTTACACCTTTGTATGAGGTAATAATATTTCTATATGGTCTGAATCTCTTGAAATGTCTACATTTTCAAACTTACAGTTAAAAGTTAGAGATTCTTTGTGTTATTATTTTTAATCTGAGAGGACGATTCACGACCTCGGCGTATTAATTGGCGCACTAATCTGCTAAAGTGACGCCACATATTTTCCCTCTCATTCTCTGCCAGACTGCCAAGAAGAACTGACGTCCATAAATTAGGAGAAATCCTTAATCAGGCACGTGACACGAGCGGTATGTTGCATAAAAATACATGTAGTTTTTGGTGAAACTGAAGTTTGTCCTACCATTTACAGAGTTTTACACACTACCTTACTTCTGACTGGTCGACCTTCAGTCTAGCTCACTTCTGATTGGTCGACCTTGAGCCACGTAGCTTTAACACAAGGTTACGGTTTTTTTTTTTTTCGCAATGCCGTTGATATTGTGTGTTGTATATTTCAGCACGCCAGCGCTTTTAACACTCCAAAAACCTTGACAAACTGGGTCTAACACACAAACCCCCCTAGAGGGAGCTGCAGCCTATGTCACAGACATTCTCTGTATCCGAAAAAAAACTTAAATACAAGGCAAGATAGAAAGCAAACAACAGAGCGTCACAAACGTAACCCCCAAGAAAGTTGACCAGTCCAATATAGTCATAAATGGAGCGTGACCTACTTTGTTTGGGGGGAACTGCTTAAATTAGTTTTCTTTTAAACGAATTGGCTGTATAGGATAAAACAGACACCGATTCAAAGCGAACACTGAGCATGCTTACAGTAACTTGAGTAAATTAAGTAGGGGGGACTTATCGACGCATCCATTTTCACGTGTTTCCCTCTCAAGTGGTCATCTCTAGAATTAGTGTCATGTGGTCCCACTTCCACGCCTTTAGGCGTATTGGGAAAATAAGGCTAGATCTATATTTTAAAGACCAATCGACACTTGGTGGGTGATGAGGTCAGCATCACGCCTGTCGCCTTTACTTTCCAAGGCTGCACCTGGTACCAACTCAAGGCTGGGTCAACCTGGGAGTCAATGTCATTTTTGAAAGAAAAAAAGAAGTGGTTCGGCTCCGTCAGGACGCTTACCCACGACCTTCTGATCCGCAGGCAGGCGTCTAGCCGCCAACGCCACGGTGACTACCCTCAACTTTTGTGTCAATAACAACATATTTTTTTCAAGGATATTGAACTTATTAGACAAACACGGATCAAAGAAATCGCCGCTCAAAAAACCAGCAGCCCCTGTGCAGTTGAAAATTGCAAAATCACAAGGACGTAGGAAATCTAAGGATATATGCAAAAAACTGTGTTGTTAATTTGTCATTTATTAATGTGTGAGGGCACTAGCTTTGAAACGCACTATAGTGATTCCATTGATACACCTCCACATCCCTATGTGCTTTAGCACATTATTTCATGAAGCCAAATGCCACCTTCGAATGTCTACAGAGGGGGCATAAATATTTACTATTGTAACGCCCTTATATATATATATATATATATATATATATATATATATATATATATATATATATATATATATATATATGCATATAGACACAAATACTTCACTTTTTAACATATTTTTAGAAGGAATTATCACCAAGACCCAAGACAAACATCTTAAAACTGTTAGTTTAGAAGGTTAAATTATAACAAACTTAAGGTTTGCAGATGACATCAATAGGTTGGCCAAAGAAGACTGCTCAGAGCACTAGTACATGAGTACTATTAGTACATTTACGTATGGCTGTCAAAGGTGGACCTTAACAGCTGAACTTGAAAGAAAGATACAAGCATTAGAAAAGCGATGTTTCAGAAAAATTCTCGGCATATCATACAAAGACCACATTACAAACGAAAAGGTAAGCCATAAATTATGCAGTACATTGGAAACTATGAAACTCCTTTAGCTACAGTGAAAAGGCTAAATATTTAAAGATATGGACATGTAATAACATACAGCAGCCTCTCACAACAATACTGCAGGGCTCAGTAGAGGGTAAGAGGAGAAGAGGCAGACCAAGAAAGACCTGGTTACAGAACCTGACTGACTGGACCGGCCTCAGGAATGCAACTATGAAGTTCATCACAACTGACCGCCAAAGGTGGAGAGAGGTGAGCAGACAGTCAACAGAAACTTGTAACCCAACGACACATAGTGTTACGGGATGATGATGATGATATAGACACATGAAAATATTCATTATGATCCTTGCCTCGGATCTGTGCATAGTAAATACGGTCTAAAGTCACATTTCAAATAATTACGACACCGGCCTACAACGATTACCAGAAAAGCACAGCGAAAGAAGCTTTTGTCTTTCCAGTGGCGGTGCCCATCGCGACCAGATAACAAACATTGCTGGCCATGTCACTCCCTGTGAAAAACAGAGGATACAGATACATTCATCAATAGTCGGTGTAAACATGTTATATAATTCCCTGGAAGATATTTTATTATGCAAATCTTTAGACAGAGCAAATATATCATCTTTAACTCTGCTGCCAACAATTCGCTGAATCAAGTGTAGGAAAACTAGAAAACAAGACAGCAGTTCCTACACTTCGCAAATTTGACTATTATTAACTGATCACATATCTATACTGGGAGCAATGGCAGCGTAGTGGCTAAACGCTCATTTGATGACCTGAATGCTTTTGTTCAAATTTTAGAATTTAAGTTTTTAATTTTTTGTTCCCTTCCTAAATGGTATTGGCTCTGAGGTTCCTCCAGCCTAAAATATGTGGCAAGTAATTTCATGTGAAGTAAATGCAGCCGAAATAATGCTGACCACTTCACCAACTACTGAGTTCCTTTTCATTCATTTATTGTCTCCTTGTGCCATATGTCACACTGGGCTTGCAGTGTGTTTCTCCATTTCGTTATATCCTGTATTGGAGTCAAATTTCCTCAATGTTCAGATCATGTTGGATGTCGCTGTATTTCTGGAGAAAAAAAAATTCCACATTGGCATGTTTATTTCTGTAAGGGATACAACGAAACAACTGAGCTACAGTGAAAAAAAAAAGTAAACGGACCAACCTGTAAGAATCCCAATAACAGCCTAATGGCAATCAAGGCCTTGTAGCTGATATGTGCCGCAGACGGTATGAGCAAAGTTACAACACCACTGCCGAAAGTAGCCCATCCAAAAAATCGTTTACCGCCATACCTGAGGAAGGGTATTTGAAAAACTAAGCAAATTTATATATGTGAATATGTGTGTGCGTGTAAAAGAAGAGGAAAAGAAAGAAAGAAA